CGGCCCCTCCGCAGCGTGCTCAGAGCTGCCGGCCGGTCGGAAATGGGGCTTCACCCTGCGGGGGACAGAGCAGCACCTGGGTAACACACAGCTCCAAGGACAAGGCACAGAACTACCACCAGCTACAGTTAACTGGGAGCTGACAAGAAAGGAGGAGCTCAGTAGGTACTGAAACTCCAAAGCTGTTTCCTACACTGGTCAAAACAAACAAACAAAAAAATGTTTTTCCCTACCTCCATCTGTTCTTTTTTGTTATAGTTTTCTTGCAACCTCAAGTGTTGCCATTTGATAAAAAAGTTGAGATCACTGCCCAACAGATAGCAAGAAGGAGGAAAAAAAAAAAAAAACAACCAAGCAAAAAACCCTCAAGTGACAAAAAAAGCCCCAAACGCTCAGGGTGGCAGAAGAGCCAGAAGAACCCAAAGACAGATTCTTCATTTGGGCCTGCAGGGCGTGGAGTATTGGAAAGTGATCTGGAGAAATAAGCCAAGCCTAAGGAACAAAGTGAACTGACCACAAGCAGAAAACTGAACTGAAACAAGAAGGTAGGAGTGGATGATGACAGGAGGGTAAGGCTGGGGTGGCTGAGAGCCCACCTCCCCAGGAGCTGGGAGAGCCAGGACTCAGTCTCCCTGCTCCTGTTACCAAACACCCACCACATGGACTCTGCAGTTTCGACACCCTGACATTTTACCCAGTTATTGATTATTCTGCATTAAATCCCTATTTCCTCTGGACACAGATGCAGCTGTGCACGCTCTGCAACTTAAGGCTCGTGGTCTTCAATGCAGAATTACCCAGAACAACTGAGCTACCACATCAGAACAGTTTCTGGAGCAGCATTCAGACTGTTTTCCACTTCTGCTCCTCACTGTTTTTTCCATGCAGCACCAACTGGCTTCAGCAAGTGAGGCAAGAAGCTTCAGCTCTGTCTCCTGGGTTAATCCTGGACATCTCAGAATTTAACGACAGGAGAATTTTGCATGCTTATTGATTTTAAGCAGTCTCATGATAACATTCCACGCCATCAGAAGGAATTCTCCCACTGCCAGCCAAAGTACGATTCTTGTCTGGAAGAGAAGTCAACTTGACCACATGATCTCCTACAGAGTATTCAAGGAGCAGCCTGAAAAAGGGTTCTTTCTTTTCACAGACCATAAATCATGCAGCTTTTGGTTTCCCTAAGCTAAATGAATATGGCAAGGCATGCTGTGGATGCCACAGATCCTAGACTGCCCAACAAAGAGGTAGTTTCCTTCCAGCTTCCATCAAACTCACCCCCTCCCAGTTCACCAGGGAATTGACGTTGGGAGGAAGAGAAAACTCAACAGGAGGATTCAATGAGTGACAAGTGGCCATTTGTTAGCACTGAATCAGAACAGCACTAAGTGATGTAGATGTGGCAGCAGCTTCCTCCCTCTGCTCGGCCATCGTCCTCAGCCCCACCATTACCTGAGGGACTTCTCCATAGCCTTGCAATTAGCTGGAAGTTTTGTGGCTTTCATATGTAATCAGAAAGCAGAACAAAAATGACCTTTTAATAGCTCAATTTTGAGTGGTCAAATTAATCTGCTTTACCAAAGACATTTTAAGTTACCTTTTAGATGACTGGATATACAAACACCAATTTAACCAATCAATTTATTGGCACTGAGGATTCTCTGGTACAGAGACTCAATCTTCCCTTCCCACAAGGATGTTGCAACACATCAGGGCAAAATAAATATGACAGGCTTAAACAAATGTTTAGCTACAGAGAAAAATCCAATACTTAACTGTTAACTGCCTGTATGACAAAAATCAAGTTTGCTGAGCTAGGAGAGAAACCCAAAAGCAGCTGCTGGATTAAACTCTTGGAACTGCAGAAGAGCTTGTTCAAAGAAGACAGGCTGAACAAAGATTCATTTCATACTTCACATTCACTCCAAAAAATAGATTCTCAAGTCATTATTCAGCCCTCAGATCTCATAATCTTACCCGTCATTGAGAAGGCCACAATCTTGTCTGGGCAGAAGAGCAAAGCAGAAAAGGCAAGGGAAAATAAAGAAGGAAAAAAAAAAAAAAGGCAGAGAGAAGGAGAGATGATGTGAGGAAAGAAAAAAGGAGGAAAAGCATGAAGTGCAGGCTGCCCAGACAATCGACTGGTGGACCAGTTCTCTCTTAGCGCGATACTTGATCATCACTGGGCCGAACCCTGCAGGCTGTCACCTCAACAGTGTCCTGCTTGCAAAGGAATCCTGCTGGAGCACAACCAGCGTCTGCTGCCAGACCAGGAAAGATTTATTACCACAAAACCAGAGCTTTGTACTAGCACAAAGGCTGAGCAAGACTGGCAGGAAAGATAAGACAACCCAGAGAGACCAGCGGAACCTGTAGGTACTGGATCCTAGAGCTGTAATTTCACAACCGCTTTTACAAATTGGAGTCTTAACACAAACAGCAGAGTTTTGAAAACTTATGCATTACACAGACGTGATTTACAAGGCAGCAGTGAACATGTAGGCATGTCAAGATGTTAGTATTTTAGTATGCACAATTCTTGTAGTTTCAGCATGTGTATTTCTGAGAAGATCTGTATACATGAGACTTTTACAGGCTTTAAGTTTGGGCACAGTTTACTGCAAATGGAAAAAAAACAAACCCAACACCCCTCATGACAAGATCTTAGCTGGGAGCTGAGCAGCTGTACCTGCACCAGCTGCCCCGTCTGCCCAGTGGAGTCACAGAACCAGTTTCACAGCCTGCACTAAGACTCTGCTGAGTCACTGCAGACCCAAATCTGAAGTTCACCTTCTGCCAACAGCCACAAACCTCCTTAACGGCATCGGGAAACCGCTCACGGTACCGGCAGCTGTCAGCCCAGTCCTCAAACAGCACCAAAAGCAATCTCCATGCTACCAGGCCACAAGTTGAACACAGTGAAAAGAGCTCACAAATAAAACAATTTCCACCCACACAACCAGATTACGACTCCATTGTATCTCCAGAGTAACTGTTCCAGCAAACGCAGTGCTGTTTCCTCCTCCCCAGTGTTTATGTGTGAGCCGAGTCCTTACAGTTACCAGCAAACATAGGGATAAAGTAAATAAATTGGAGTGGCAGACTCAGCACTGAGCTTTAGCAGGCAGAAGTCAAGGCAGGCAGCTCTCAGCCCCACACACTGAACAGCTCTCTGCAGGACTAATCGCACAACAGGAAAGCTTATGGTTGTGCTGCAGGAGTTTATAATCTGCGTATAACAAACATAATTAGAAGCATTACCTTAAGAGGAAGCTATTTATTTGTCTGCAGAAATTCCTCTGAGGCTTTTAGAGGGGTTACCTTCACTCCCTCCACCACGCGCGTCCATTACTTTAGGATCTTAAACTGCTGCCTGTGATTTTAATTCTATTTCATAAATCAAGCTGGAAAACGTCATATGTATCTCATCACCAAACCCAGCAGCCTAGTCCCCTCAGAAGGCATTTTACAAGTGTGAGGAACACTTCAGGATCTCCACACTCGACGTTCTCACTGATTTCTTACCGATTTCTATGGAATGGGCGACCTATACTCAAAGAAGCAGCATTTGTTTTGTATGATCCTGGTGTGTTAAAGCCATTCACAAATCCACCGTTAGGAAAGGGGGCCTGCAACAGACAGAACAGTCTCAATGGCTGAACTGAAAAGGAAAACGTTTGCAGTTTTATGAGATCAGCTTCAGCAGTTATTCATCTAGTCTGTACTTTTACCCTGGGCCATCATACGTTGGAAACATGCTACTAGAGCAAAAACCCCACCAGGTTACCAGTCTGCACATCTACCTTGGCATCAGGGTCCTCCTCTTCTGGAAGGGCTACAAGACTCTTCCAGTAATGCTAGGAACAATGTAATACCAGGTAACAACATCACACCAAAGTTTCCTGGCAGTGAGTGATGGGACATGCAGCCTCTACAACTGTTCTGCCTCATCAGGCCCACGACTAACATCAAGTATCATAAACCAGAGGGATCTGACTGGAACCCCTGTGCCCTGCAGCTGAGAAGCCCCCTGATGTTCTGAGCTGCCTCCCCTCATCCCCATCAGCTGTTACTTACCAGTGGTGTTTCAAAGTAAGGTGCAGGATTTGGAGACCACGTCTGAGGCACAATGCTGTAAATAGAGTACTGCTGAGGACTATATACAGGCTGCATAAACAGTGGTGAGGCAAACTGTGCTTGTGTTTGAACTGGCTGAGTATAGACACTGGAATCCACTACCCGGTAACCATTCTTAGCAAAAAACGTGTTGATGGCTTTTATCCTTGCCTGCAAAATCACATCACAGACATTAGTTGGGAGGAAAGGAGAAGCAGAGCATGAAATCTTTCTCGCCTACCAAAATGGAAACAGAAGGGATGTGAAGAGGAAGTAGGCTGATAAAAATCAATCCAGATTACCCTCTTACAGCATGCTAAGGGCAGGGGACATGCTGCTTTAGCTACAGAATGGCCAGTTTAGAGACAGACTCTGCCTTCTACAGCCCAGGCTCCCATTCTGAATGCTCCTTGCACTGCACAAGGAGCTTCAGCCCCATATATACAGCAGATAACTCAGGCCAGAGACTCCAATGGCCCAAATCCCCCCCCTGAGTTCTGCAGACCCAGATTTGGGGGAAAGCAGAGAAGGGAAGAGGAAACATGAATGTGTTTCACACCTCATGGGAAGCAGCGCTGTGAAGAACCAGCAGCCACTCAGCTGTCATTTTGCAAAGCTACCCATGACCTCATTCAAGTTAAGTGCCTACAGAGCAAGGGTTCCAAACTTTCCCAGTGCCAATTCCTGAGTTCCCCTCCCAAAATGCACACTGCTGGCACTCCAACAGAAACAACACAACTCAAACAGAAACCTCCCATGAAACAGCCTTACCATTACTGGCTTGCCCTGAAAGGTTTTCACTTCTTCCCTTAAGTATTTAAATGCCTGCAGATACAAAAAAATTAATATTACACTGATTAAATTGATAAAATTCTACCTCCTAAAGGATTTTACACAATTTATTGTTAATGTGTAGCACTGTGCTTTCCTGTTAACCCACCTAAATTCATTAACACTCTAAATGCAGGATATGAGATGTTGGTTATGGCTGAATACAGAGGTGAGGGACAAGGAAATTATAACCCTGTAATCACTCAACTTTTTTTTCCCCTATTACCAAGAATTTGCCAATAACCTCTTAAAATAACACAAAGGGGATCAGCAGATAAACAATTTTAGCTGCAGGAAGCACACGTGCAGTTCTCTGGGGCAGGGGGGGTATCCCCAGCAGCTCTGAGGGGGCAGGAGCAGCTGAGGGCAGCCTTACCTGCTGCGCATCCGTGTCCGACTGGAATGTAACGTACCAGTTGTTGTTGTGAGCAAACTCACAGCTTATCACCTTGGGGCAGTTCTCATTTTTAAACAGAGCCTTTACCTCCTAGGGGAGAGAAGTCAGGCAGTTAAAGGGGATCTAGTGTTCCAGTCACAGCTTGGAGCTAAACCAGAAGTTTACACCCCAGCTCCTCAGCTGCAATTTTCTCTTGACCAGGGATGTTCTCTGGTTCCCTTGACAGCTCTGCCACACACCAAATTATCCTTGGCCTGGTTCTGAACCCAAGAACCCTAGCCCAGCCTACTGAGCTCCCCAAAGAAAAAGTAGCAGGGCTGCCTGATAGGAGAAACAAGAGCAGTGTAGAACTGGAGATATTTCTATAGAAAAGAGGTAGCAAAAACATGGCTTCAGATCAGGAGAGTCATCGACACAAGAATGATTCTAAGAAACATTTCTAAATCAAGGTAACCTGACAGCTTTGCAATAATCAGATTTTGAAGAGAAAGCAAAGCAGCTGCTCAGTGTTTGCACTAAAAGAACTAATTAAAAATGCTAGCAGACAAACACCCTGTGTTACAACTTCAAAAAAACAAAGAACTAAATCATTCTCTTAGCCAAATATCAGTAGGAATTTTATTATCCTCCCTTCTCTGAGCATAATGAGCTCAGCTCACACTGGGTCACAATGAATGAGAAATGTTTAGTAACATTTCTTGCTGCCAAAATAACCGTCTGACTTCAAGTAAAGTTACTGCTGTGACAAAAACTCAGCCCGAGTTCCAAGCCATGCCCTGGACTGGTTTTATTTTGGGATCAGGAAAGACATTCCTTCCAGAAAAGCCTAGCTAGCTCAATTTTTGGAGGAAAAATGTTTACTTGAAAGCATTTTAAGACCTTAGTAAATAACAGGAAGGGACAACAAGGACAACAATTTGTTGTATGTGTTCTTGGACAATATACCCAGGCAGCAAAAATCACTCATAGGTTACAGAAAAAAAAAAAAACACCTTTAATCAAATTAAATACAGTTAACCTTTTATGCAACACTTCCTGTTGCTGCAAGAACCACTGCTGAAGATACCTTCCAAAAACACCAGCAGGCTTTTCTCTTTTCTATGGACCTACCTCTATCGGTGTTGTCTCCGGGATCTCACGGAGGATGATAATACATCGTTTGTGGTTTGGTCTTACTTTCTCCCCTCTCTCATCCACTTGTACCATAGGAGAAGCTAAAATGAAAACACAAGAGCTGGCTTAATATTGGACATTGTCCACTGCAAAACATCTCAGCCTTTCCAGACGCCAGGACCCAACTTGCAACAAAGAACTAACAGACTGCTTAAGAAACCAGATTTCTTGAATGCTGGTTTACTCCTAGAGGGAAACTTTCACTGCTAGCAATATCTGAGAGCAGCCTCTTACTGGGGCACATTTAGGCAGATTATTATGAAGCACAACTGGAACTCACAAGCCTGGAGCAGTCACTTATTCAGCCCTCTCTGCAAAACAAGGTTCCTTTCACCCTTTACCAGAACAATGTGCCTTAACCAGCTAAGAGACTGATCCTTTTGCCTAAAGCAAGGAAGGATTCTCTGTTCTAACACAGACACCACACACCCCAGACTTACATCTCAGCACTTCCAGAATAAGGTCCATATCTGTTGTCAGCTTCTTAATACCTTCCATGTTGGCAATTGTCCATATGGGAACAAACTGATCACTATCCATTTGAGACATCAAGTAGAGATCCTTTGAGAGATTCTCACTAAAAAGACATAAGTTCACTATTTTATAAAACTCCTGAATCTTACTTACACAAGCCTTAAAATAACAGGTTAACTGCAGGCTTAAATATCCACCAACACCAGTCACAGCCAACTCTAAACAAAACGTACTCAGATTTCCTCTCCTGGAAGAAAATCCTGGCAGATCAACACAAAACAGAAGGGAATGTAAAACCTTCGTTAAAGTTACAGTGCTCTGGAGGCTGGCCTGCAAAAAGCATCTTGCCAAAGAGACCTCTCCTGGTGACACTCAGCTGAGCCATCTCCAGGCCTCCTGACTGAAGCACAGCAGCTCTGCCCTGTCCTGCTGCAGCACACGGCTGCCTGGACAGGACTGACACAGCTGAAGGTACCACAGGGTTGCTGCAGCACTTGAGCCAGTCTTGTTTGTATCTCAACCAACTCTCTCACTCACAGTTAACATTTCTGAGAAGATGTCATCACATATCAAGCCAAAAAAGGAAAAAGTCTGTCAATACCTTTATTAAAGTGTTTATACAAAGTGGAATGAAAGGTACTGTACCGTGAGAAGCAGAATTCAAGTTGTTTTTTCAAACATTCTCTAATGTCTTCTGTGGACACAGTGGAGCTGCCTTCACCTAGAAGTCACCACAGTCACCATCAGTCTCACAGCAGGAACACAACACAAGAACACGTTTCATTGTACAAGAATGAATCCTTCTGAGTAAGACTGAGAGGAGAATGTCACCTGAGACACACCTAAAGACCATCATGCTACACGTTCTCAGCATGACCTGAACCCCTTGGTTTTCACTCCTTGGCCAAGTGCTATGGCTGGCTTGGATCTTCCTCAACACACACAGAACGTTTCAAAGTTGCTCCTCAGTCACACAGTAACTGCAGCAGAGTTCAGAGGATTACAGACCCTGTCAGTGCCATCTAACTTGAATACTCACCAGACACTTCATAGATTTGGTACCCAAGATCTTCAGTTGCCAGAACAATTCCATTTGCAGATGCTTCATCAACTCCTGTGCCATTCCTTGTGGCTTCACAAGACGGGGAATACATCACTTCATATTGCTTGCAGCTATCCTCAGAAATCTCTATGTTACCTGGCAAGAGAACACACCATCAAAAGAAAAACCACTATAAGCTTCAGAGTGCTTTCCACTTGAAAAATTTTGGCTGCCAACATTAAAACAAATACTCAAGAAAGTGGTAGCTGGAAGCATCTAGACTTTGTCTGTGTTTAAGACTTCCAGCATCTACTTTGTGTTGGCACTTCCCATCTCTCCAGCTTCAGAAAGCTCTGCACAAGGGTCTCAAGGATAAGTAAGGAATGGAATCATGATGCTGTAAGACCCCCCCCAAAAGTGGCAGAGGATCTCAAAAACAGACTTACCCACTGAAAATTAAAATATTTAAACAAGGTTCCTAGAAAAAGCACTGAAATAGGTTACAACACCTCCACACATTACACGATTCTTGTTTATATAAAGGACTCGGGAGCATCCAGTGACTTACAAAACCCAGAGGAATGTCACTGAAATGGGCCACTCACTTGTTCAGGGCCCCTTGGCCAAGTCCCCACCCAGCTCCTCGAGATGGAACCGAGCACAAATTCACCTTAATCCAACTGTCAGGTAAAGGAGACTGTTCCCCCAACATCAACTGCTCTGCTAGATCTTTCCCACGTTCACTGTGAGTCCACAGAAAACACACTTTGAGCAGAGACACTCTTCAACTGCTTACATCAGAAACTGCTTCAAAGCAAAACCACCACACTGGGGAAAACTGCCCAATGCTGCCACGACTGCCTCACTTTGTTAGCAAGAGACAAACGAGTTTCTCTCAGCCAATGCACAAACTCAGCACCCTCTCTTCACTTCTGCTGACCCACCAGAAACTTTTGACAGGACCACACAAACTGAATCCTCCCTTCTTTATCCCTAACTTTTTCCAGGGAATCTTCTGCTTCGTAATTAACAGACCTCTGCCATATTTTGGGTAACCTCAGCTATACAGGTAGCTTTGTATCAACTCTAAGGCAAATCAGGAGGGTTAAAACTTTTCAATATTCACTCCTGGATGATAGGATTGACCATGTGCTGAGGATGGAAAAGGAGGACTGAAATGGAATGCAGCTAACCATAGATGCCTTGCAGTTTCTACTCCACTCCAAATGCTACCACCAAGGAGCTCTTAGCAGCACCTCAGCAATCTACCAGGATGGCAGGTGGCCCTCAGATCTTATCTTCCTGTTCACAGGGTCAAGTGGCTACTACAGTGCAGCAATGAACTCATTTCTGCACACGCAGCATCCTGATTCCCTCTTAGCGCGTTACTCAAGTCATCACCGGGCCCCTTGGCTCCTGCCACCTGCTCTGGACAGTCCTGAACCCCTAAAACCACAGCTGGTTCCACACAGCAGAGGCTGCTTCTCGCTGCTGAACTCTTGCAGAGGACCCTCAGGGCTACGTTGGAGCCCTTGGCACGAGTCCCCCAGGTGCCACCTCACCCTCGGTCTGAGTCCCCTGCGCCGCCGCCGCTTCTTGCCACGAGTGCTCGGCGCCATTGGTCGGTGGCACGGCCTCGCCACTCCCCTGGGGCACCTCTTGCCACACTTTTGCATTAGGGTTTAAGCCAGCACCTTTCGATGTTACCTGCTGAAGAGACCAGAATGCTTTTGTTAGGAAAAAACAATCCAAAGATGCTTTAGAAGTCAAACCAGACAAGACAGGTGAATTTAGTGATTTTCTAGAGTTCCACATCTCAAGTGTCTAACCAGCTATTAAGCACCTATATGATTTTTCATTAATTAAAACAGGAAAATCCTTGGTATTTTCCAAGTATTTCATTTCTACCTCCATGAGAAGTGTTGCCTTCAACCTCTCTTTATTGACATCCGACAACATCAGCGGAGGAAGCGGCTAGCCGTCAAGGACTCGGGGAACTCATTAGCTTTTAAAGACTTGACTGTCATAATGCTCCAGGCCCCTTTCACCAGAAAGGGAAATTTTCCCTCCTCCAGACCCCTTCCTAGAAAGGAAGGTAAAAAAACATATTTCAAGGAGAAGAAACTAACGGCTTATGGAATTAGTGACATCTAGGCTAACCAAGCATCCCCTCCGACACACCAGGATCCCTCCTCAACTTACCTGAGCACTACCCCAACTCCCCGTGAGTCTCCCTACACCTCATACCCATCAACGTACACTAAGAATTTCCTTAAACCTGTAACCGAGGAGATTAAAGGTTTTGAAGTGCCAAGACAAACATAAACATCACCACAGCCTGCTGGGAGAGGGGAACAGGATCGTCTCCCTTTGAGACCAGGAAACAAGGAACACAATCAGAGGGAGAGGGTAAACAGCAACAAGAGAAAGTGCTGGGTTCCAACCTGGAGCCTGACAAACACACAGATTTCTACAGCAAAGGATGATGCCCTCCAAGTCCCCTCTCCAGAGCTGCTCAGAAGCTCATGTGGGTAACGGGTCCAACAATCCAGCCACAGCACAGAGGATAAACCTCGTAACAGCCCTCACTCCACCACTATCAAACTCCTTCCACACCCACACAGAAACTCCCCTTTTGCAAGAATTCTCTTCCCAAAAGCTCCCAATTATGGTTTCCCCCAAAGAGGTCCCTCCTAACACTGAACAGGAGCCCATCTCCACTCACCCCATCTCCACTCACCCCATCTCCTGGGACTGAAAGGCGAGAGCCGTTACTCCCAGCTCCCATCTCAAAAATGAGGAAGTTCAACATTTCAGCCTCCTGGATCCCCAAGTGAAGGAGTGGCTTACTACCAGGCCTCAAACACAGAGCAGGATAAGGAAGCAGTTGCAGTAGCTTTAGAGATTATTCCTCTGCCAAGGTCACACCTAGGTCCAAAGCTAGATGCAGAAAGGAAAAGCCCAAATTCAACGGCAAAAAGCCTCCCAATGCTGGAGGGGTTCAAGACAATCATGAGAGAAGACAAAACAAAGATCACGGTTTTTGCAAAGCCCTCTTGGGGATTCAAAATCTCCCTCACACAACTGATTTAATCTACACAGCAGTGGAGTTTTCTCTCTTTCATTAATCTTAGCAGACTACAGCTGGAAGCAGAAAGCAGAACTGGGAACAGCTCAGTGTGAAAAGACTCACATTCATTTCCCTTCTCAGTTTTCAGAATAGTTGTTCCGTGGGAAAAAAAACCCTTAGAGTAACCTGGTACTCACTGTACCCCCAAACTGCCCCTGTTGGTTGCAACAAGTCCAAACCCCAACTCAGGCCAGGGGCTGCTCCCTCCTGCGCCAGCACCTGCTCCGGGACTGAGCACCAGCAGATCCCATTTCTTGGAATTTTCTCTTCATCAAAGTGAACAAAGACACATCCAAGAGATTATTTTAGGAAAATAAACACTGCCTCACCACCTTACGTCTTTGAGGTTAGCACTGAGCTCAAGCTGAAAGCAATTTTAAGGACTAAGTGTGGTGAAGTGAAACTGAAACGCTCCGGAGAGTTCAGCACACGTCTGGGGGTGGCCAGAAGCAATGCTGAGCGTGGCAGATGATGTCACCCACGCCAGCAAATACCCAAAGACCCAGGTGGCAACACGGAGCTCTGAAATCACAGATCCAGGTGAAGAGCACCAAGAAAGGCAACAGATGGAGGCTGATGAATGGAGCCACTGATGCCCCAGCTGAAACGCCCGACAGAGCCCGGGCTGCTCCCCCTCTGTTCTAGAGGCACTTCCTGACAGGTAATGCAGTCCTGCACGACCCACCCCGATGTCCTCACCTGAATGGCAAGACATGGGTGGCTCGGGGAGGATAAGAAGCCCCTAATCTACACGAGCTTTTTGGAAACACAGAGTGCTGGGCTCCAGAGGCAGCGCCGCTCCGTTCCGGCAAGCGGCTCCTCTGAAGAGAAGGCCAAAATATCAGTCCTTGCTTATTTAACTGAGGCTAACAAACCCCCAGCCCGTTTGATTGGCTGCAGAACAATCCTCCCAGCTGCTATCGGGAACTTTCATGACGAGGTTAAAGCTTTACAGAGTGACAAAGGTTAGGAACGCTCGCTGGTATCCACGAGCTGACAAAGCTGTCCTCCTCGGCAGAGCTCCCCTCCAGCTCACGGCACTTCCAGCAAATGCTGAGCAGAGATTCTCCTCCAGCAAGCCCTCAAAACCGACTATCAAAGCATCCATCTCATTCTGAAAGGATGGCAAAGAATGTTTTTCTTATCGTGACAATCTAAATTGCATTTAACAGATTCAGTCCAGCCAACAGAAACAAAAGAGCTCCGTTTCTTTCCAAGGGTTCTGTTTGAACAGTAATTCAAATTATCCCCTAACTGAAATCTTAATGTTGAGCCTGGGATGGATTTCCCAGAGCAGGCTGACTCCCTGAAAAGGAATCCAACTGAAAAAAAATAGAGAATAATTTAATAAAATTTGTGGGATGAGAATCTAAACATTTTCCAGAAGTGGAAATGTAAGCAGAGGGGAAACCCCCCCCAAAAGTCAGCAAACCTCCAGGCAGCTGGCAAAGAGACACCTCACTCTGCCCGGGGGACATGGCAGGCAGGGAAAGGCACACCTGCCCCAGCTCAGGCACGTGCCACCAGAGGCTCCTGTCCCCTCCTCAAAGCTCACCCAGGCTGTACAGCACCTGGTGGCACAGAACAGCCCAGCCCTCTGCAGGGCCCAGGGAGCTCCCCGAGCTCTGCCCTTCGCAGTGACAGGAGTTACCTCCACAGAACACCCCGTGGTTTTTTCAGCAGCTGGCAGGAGGACCCCAGAAGTCGGGGGACTCCTTCCCCCCAGGGTAAAGCTGTGTGAAGATGGTACCAGCCTCGCCTGGGTCACTGGTGTCCGTGGCTGTGGTGGGCACAGGGACAGCCCAGGGGGTCTGTCACCCAGAGGGAAGCCCCACCTGCTAGGAAAGAGGGACCCCACTATTTGGTGCTTCACCTCCTTTGCTGGCTAGAAAACACCACCAGCAACAACCAGGGCAGAGATTCACTCACCTGAAACACACAGATTTCAGTTTTCCCAATAAATCCCCGACATTTTGAATCAGGAAGAGGCACCCAAGCGACCAGGCCCCAGCACAGACAAAGCCAGCTGCTGTCAGTGCCACTGCTCCCAGCACACCAACAACATTCCCTGCGCTGTTGATTGTCAGCGGCACCGGCT